GATAGGACTTTTTATTATGAAATATGTCTTATTTTATTTTATTTTTTTATTTTATTTCAACTCTAGCCAGAGCACATGTTCTCCCAGAACACAAGAAGTATATTTCTTTTACATTTATGGGCAAAAGGAAATTAATTCCACCTTTCTCCTGAAAAGCCTCGCTACACACGTCCTTACCAACTTTCAGCAGCTAGGATAGAAGCATCAGCTAGAAATATCCCTTCTTAAAAATTCTGAAGTCTGAAATGCAGCCTTACATTATTTTGAAGCCTTACATTATTCCCCACCCCCTTAATTCAAATGTTAACAACGCATAAAAACGCACATCTTGGGGGCTTACAAAATATGACCCTGAGCACGCCTTAATCATGACCACTGGCACCGATCCCCCATAAAGTGACATACATCTACTTTATGAAAAGCTCTCCTGCAATTGCTCCTCTGCTTGAGCAAGAAAATGCAGGCATTGTTTGGGCTATCTTGCCAAATGCAGACATTTATTTACCGGAGATGTCAAAATACCAGAGCAGAAGAGGAGGAAACACCAAATGGTGACAAAGCCAAGCTATTTTCTATAAACACACAAAAAGCAGGCGGATGTTTTGAGGACGAAGGTGTCATTTTCATTCCACCTTGCGCAGGACGTTGCTTCCCTCCACATCTGCCAGCAGAGGACTCCCTTTTCTACTGAAGCTGAAACAGCTTCTCTGTTCTTCTTGTTCTTCTCTGACACAGTGCGTGTGGTGTGTGTGTTTTTTTAAGCCTTTACAAGTCCCTACAAATCCTCTTGCTTCTGCTTCCTAACAGGGGGCACTAAAGCTGACACTGTCTGTCTGACCTTGTGGTTATTGATTAACTATCTCCCTATTCGCTGCCATCTTTCACACCCCCGGCGCTAGCAAATAGAGAGCTAAGGAGCAGCAGTCATTCTCCGTGACAGCAATGCTCAAAAAGGCCTGCCTTCAGAGATGTGGCGGAAAGGGCCTCTTGATCAAACGTGCTTTAATGTCAAGACTAAATACCATGCGCAGCCCGACAACTTGTACAATTTAACATGCATTTGCTAGGCTGACTCAACGCTGCTAGCAAAAAGGAGGGAGATGGAATAATTTATGTCCAACTGTTCTCAGGTAGCAAATGAAACAAAGGAAAAGAGATGGGAAGATGGTGGGCTACCTTGGGAAGGTAAAATCTGAGTTTAGGTGCTGGATTGATTCTACAGTTTCCTAAAAAAATTACATTCAAACTCTCTCTTACCCACACACGTGCCTGGGAATGAACATGGAGATGCAATTGTGCTAAAGTTGGTTTAGGTAAGAGCAGGAACAATAGCTTCCCTATAGCCTGTTGTTTATGTCCTTCATATCCTT